GCATATAGCATATAGCATATATTTTACTTTATACGCGTGTCTGTATGATCAGAAGTGAACAAGAAACAGTTAAACTCCAGAATTCGTCACCATCCTGTCATTCCAAAACATGATTCGTAAATTTGATTTAAAAATTGTTTGGATGTCCTTGGTTAACGCAGTAGCTCTGTAACGAATTTCATGGTAAGAGTGCAAGGAACTGATGACGTTTTCTCAACTTTTTAATATCCAGTTTACTCAGTATGGTACAAAGCTCAGCCACTGCCCAAACGGGAGGTATATCGCGGGCGTCTGATATCGAAGCAGAGGTCTACGAAGCTGTGCGTTCGTCTGGACTTCTGGCAGATCTTGATGATGGTGATGACCTCCATGAACCTGACGATGAGGATGAAGAGGATGATGATGATGATGATGAGAATGATGAAGAAAACGAGGATGATTATGAAGATGTAAGTATAAACTAGTTTTATTAACCAATCATATTGCGACCTTTAGTTCAATATACTTAACCAGCCAATCAGGTGACACATCGATGAAATAAGAGCGTGAGAACGTGATAATCTGATTGGCTAACACTGTTATCAGTGCAATATCTGGTCTAGTTTACCGTTTTCTGATTGGACAGATTTATTCAAATGGTCCCGCTTTGTGTATCCGCACAGTAAAGTGGGGCTGCACGTAGCCTAGGTTTTTGCGCAGTTAAAAAAATGAGTMGATCAAATTAAAGAAACGTGGCGCAATAAAAAGCCAACTTTCTTTTCTTTTTATAAAGATGGCGGAAGAGCCCGAACGACCTGGCACGCGTCGAAGGATGTGGGACGATGAGTATGTACTGAAAAGACAGTTTTCTGCTCTCGTCCCTGCGTTTGATCCACGACCTGGTAGAACTAACGTACAACAAACACAAGATATTGAAGTTCCTCAGCCCGGTAAGACATACAGAATCCTCCAGTATTATAGAACTCTTGTGTCATTCTCTTGAGTATCATTTCTTTGTTTAACGTTCCTCA